TTCTCTTTCCAGCTGTAAACAGGAAAGGCAACAAATGTAACATGCATGCAAATGTAACAGATTTGATTTTACAAACCCTTTAAGAGACTAAGACCCATTTTGAGATCACCAAAGGAGAAAGGCAGAAAGTTAACTATCACAGAAATTAAGAGTTCAGAGCACTCTTTTAGATTATGTAATAAGAGATTAATTCAGCTGATTATTAGGAAGTGAACACACAGCTTGCTTTTCCGAAAGCTCACACACAGCCTTTGTCATACGTACATAATTAAGCTGTGCAGTTATGTAATTCTCCATACAACTGGAATACATGTCTTCCTGCAAACAGTTTGGGAAGGAAAACCTCACAATGCAGGGTATGACGGGTGCATAATAAACCAAAAAACAGGAAAAGCATTCCCTTGTGTCCTTCAACAGATCCTTCAGCACAGCTCCCAAGACTCAAATCCCCGACCCATCACATTATCCAGGGTGTCCTTTGACCCATCTAAGTTACAAGGACATGGCACATAAGGCCCAGTTTCCCAGACCATTTCTTTTCAATCCACTGACTTCAGGCAGATACCTTTACACTTCTGCATGGAGATACATTTGTCTGCTCACTGATCTTCTGAGAAGAAATCTCAACATTCTGAAAGGAAAATAGGAGCAGTGCTCCAGTAAATGTATGCAGATATTCACAAGGCATCAATGAGTGTCTGCATAGGGGCAATCACCCTCTCCTTACATCTCCCTCTGCACCTTGAGTCTCTCCCCTTGCACTCATACAAGGTTCTTGCCATGACACGCATTTTAGAGCCAAGGCACATCTAGCCCCATTTCACATGGCTCAACCTCAAAAGACAAGAAATCAGCAAAACATTTCCTCCTGCCATTTCCTTCTGCACTACTTTCACCACATGCAGCCACCCACAACTGTTTTTAAACCTTCACAACTTTAAAGATGATCCTTCATCTTCATAACAGGCAGACAAACATCATCAACGGACTAGTTTTTGTCCGGCCCACTCCTCTATACAGAATACAACAGAAAAATGGATGAATGCAAAGACACCACCTACTGACACCACTATATATCACAGAGACCCAGAAAGGTTGAGAAGAGTGCACATGATGAGCAGCAAAGTTACTCACAGAGCTGTCAAAATTACAATCTAGAGAACCTAACCCAAATCAAGTAAATGTGCCTTTGGGAAGATACCTGAACTTGTAAAGAACACAAACTACAATTTCCTAATAAGGCAACACATCCATATAGAAGAGCTAATACTGAAAGGAACACGTGTGTTACATATGTCAGGGTACAGAAACAATTTGGTGTGTGATGAAATCACAAAGCCTCACTCAAACTTCCAGCCACCATCAGCATCACTACACCCTCCTGCCCAAAAACCTGGAAGACTGAGTAAGGACCCTACGTCTACCTGTCAACAGGTGTCAATGCAGGAACCTCTGTCAGCGCTGTCAGTAAATTTCCCTAGACGGTCTCTTCCCAGAGACAAACTGGACAGAGGAACTCACCGAGGAAGGAGCGACGGGGTCGGCGGGGCAGTCGCCGGCAGGTTCCTCCTCTCCGAGCAGCGGGGCGGGCTCGTCGGGAGGCGGCCGGGCCGGGAGGGTGTCGCAGCAGCTGGCGGCCGAGAAGCGCGGGTGGCTCTTGCGCGAGTCGGCCGTGAGAGACACGTCGTGCGAGTAGGAGTGCAGGAAGGCGCGGACGCCGTCGATGCCCACGAAGTGCGTGGCAGGCACGCCGCGCAAGGCGGCGCCGGCCGTGGTCAGCAGCTGCTGCTGCTGCTGCGAGCGGTGCCAGCGCCTGAGGCGCAGCGCCAGCAGCAGCAGCAGGAAGGCGAGGAAGAGGCAGGAGACGGCGGCCACGGCCAGCACGAGCCAGCGCGTCAGGCTGGCGGCCGGCTCGGCCGGCGCCGCCTCTGCGTGCGCCGCGCTGCCCAGCTCGGCCAGCAGCTCGGCCACGCTGTCGGCCAGCACCAGGCTGA